TTTTATCAAAACCATATCCGCTTTTTATATTTATGTAAATTATGACATATTGTAAGTCATGACCCTTAACTCTCGGAATAAGCTTATCTGACAGTTCAATAACCCCCCAAGAATCTGGTTGCTACTTCCCCGGGTCCCATAGCCAAATACTTAGAATGTTATTCCCTGTACTTTTTTTAAGAATTTAATTCTTTGGGGTTATATAAGCCAATTTAATTTGGGCTTTTTTTTTGGCAATGGCTACATCCGGAACATTGATCATTTTTCAAAATTCAAGATGGCCGTCAAAAATATAAAATAAATTATAATATCATTATATTATAGATAAATAAATAATTATGTAAAATAGCAAAGAGTCGGGTTTAAAGTGCATGGTATTCCGCATTTCAAATGGCATGCCCAAAAAGTAAAAAAGCAGTAAAATTACGTTTTAAACTGATAATTTGGTGTATAATGTATATCAAAACCTTTTATTTATTGACAAGGTGTACTTGTAAGGTACAGTTTTACTAAGAATCTATAAAAGACGTTTACTGATACGACTGACCGTTAAGTAAGTTCTCTTTTTAATACAGGCTCAGTGTGATGAAAAATTTATCAAGGCCCAACAGGGGTTTCTGCAGAATTTGGGGCACAGGGAGTCCAAAATGTTTTATCTGCAATCAGGAATGTTATATTTACATGGAGTTCAACCAAGTCCGTTGGTGGGGATGGGGGGAGGGGGTGGAGTGAATTTTAACTATTGTCTAAATATTAACCTTACTATTTTTTGTTTTTGTTTTTATATTGATCATACCTTAATATTTTGATTTTATATCTTGATCATAACATTATTCAGTGTGTACATAAAATTTAGCTTTAAAAAATTCCTTTTTTTAGATTGGCCCGTATTTCATCAGTATATAACAGCATTTCTAGTTTTTCTTATTACTGCACTTTTTCATTTTACATTTTAAAGAGTCAATAAACAAAACATCTTATAAATCGTTTGGTTATATACTGACAGCCATTAAAATCTTTGAGGCCATATTTTTCAAAATAATTGTTATTTTGAAGCTCTAAACTGGATTATTTTCATATGAATCATTTGTTTAGGACATAGGTATACAGAACCAAAAGTTTCATGAATAGTTTCAAAACCAAAATGGCACCAGCCTAACACAAAGACACAGTGGTCAGCAGCCGGTACCATCTCCGCTTGCTTCGATGCAGGCGGCGATCTGTTGGTGCATGCTCAGGCAATAAATGTGGATTGGATGGTGTCATGCGGAATCCTATTCCAGCCTTGTCGTAGTGCCTGGATCAGCTGCTGCTGCCTTGGCCAATGGACACCCAAGACATATGTAGTACCACAAGTGTTCAATCGGATTCATATCCAGAGAATAGGCAGGCCGGGGTAGGACATCCACCTATGGGACTCCAGATACGCTTGGATCATTTGTGCCGAATGTGAACGGGTCTTGTCCTGTTGGGAAATGGTGACATATATTTTCTGCTGCATGAACGAGGTCATGTGAGGTTGCAGAATCGGATCTATGTAGTGACGAGCAGTTACTGGTATGTTACTTCAACGACCACTATCGGTTGACCGCAAGAAAGCGTAGACATACAGTGGGGCTGCACCTCTGGTTGTTGTTCTTACCAGGTGCTTCTTGTGCTTTACAAATGGCATTGCGAAATTGGTCCAGCAGGTGATGCAACCAGATGCAGCGATCCTAGGCTCCGTATCTCGAAAGCTTCGCTATGTTGCGCACGTGCTCTAGCATGGTGTGCGTGTGCTATCCCCTATCTCGAAAGCTTCACTATGTTGTGCACCTGCGCAAGCATGGCTAGCGTGCGCTATCCCATATCTCGAATGCTTCGCAAATCGCGTCCGTGTGCTAATGTCAAAATCACCATTAGTTTCGAGGCTATTATTTGTGGTGATACAAACTAGTCATAAAGGCCTCTGCATATGCATAATTCGTCATTTTAATGTGTTTTTCATGTAATTAAGCATGGTGGCAAGTTTGGGTTGCTAGTCATAATAGCATATAATATAACATATAACAAAAACATGGTAGCTTTTAATTGATTGAATCACCGGCACCTCTGATAGAAAAACTTGCGGTAAATATTCACGTGAAGAATGCTTAAGTCATGTTTTATTATGCAGAAAATTTTCAAAATTAAACATTTCATACATCATTTTATATTTTCTGGTGACTTTAATTCATCTGTGTAGTCTATTGATAACAATAATAAATTTAAAAGTGTCATTTTCTACACAAAAAGCAGTGTCTATTATAGCTCAAATCAGACTCCCCTCACACCCAGTGCCCAGAGATGTACGTTGGTCACATGATAGACTTAGCATAATTCCGTTTACTGGACTGACAACATGGGTGGCCTTTTTGGACCTTTACAGGCTTCCAAAATCAATCCTCAAAGTGTGCAGATGCCCACTGAGTATTGCTCAATGTGTATTTGGTCCATTTTTGCAAAAAAAGCTTACCCATGTGCAATGAACCATGGCAACATGAGAACTCATCAATAAATCAGCAATGAACAATTACATCTACCCTACAAGAAGAAAAATGCATACATTCCTATGTCAAAGCTTCCATTATCAGTAAGTATATATTGGCAAAAACAACATTTCAAATACATGATGTCGATGGGTAGCCCTCGCATATCCCCGAACTATGTCACGTTGTCAAGAATAGCTAACCTTATGGACCCTAACCGCTGGGTTTGTATGCCGCTGCTTGGGTCTTGATTATTTTTAATAAAATTCATTATTAAACAACAAAAAATACCTTTACCCATAGGTGTTAAAATATTTAAAAAGTTTACAAAAAAAGGGATAAGAATAATCCAACCTTAAGAAAAACGATTTCACGCCTTTTTTTATTTCAAAATGATTTAGTTTACAAATACTAGACTGATAATGCCTTTCATAATCATCCACAATGTAATTTTTGATTTAGAATGAAAAACTAATTGTCGGGACTAAGATATCCGCAATCAATGTTTGGTTTGATCATAGAGTAGCATTGACGGACATATTGGTTTTCGTTTTTCATATAATTAAACCTAAAAATATGTTTTTTTTTGTGTGTGTGTGCTATGTCTTGAACGCAGGTATATCGTTTTTTACCATATATATGTATTTATATTTGTTCTAGTTAAGGCCTATTTTAGTTAAAAGACATGTAGTTTTACAGTTGATTCTTTGCCCTCCCATTATGTTTTGGAGACCATTTTTATTAAAATAAAATTAAATAAATGATCGCATTTTGCATGGATGTAAACCAAAATATGCAATGAACAATGGAGTGAAGCATTAATTTTTTATTTGAATGTATGGCTCTCGCTATTCACATAACAAATTGACGGTCATCTTGAATTTTGAAAAATCATTAATATCTCGCATGTATTAAATAAAGACAAGCTTAATAAGCTTTTCTAAGTTTTGTAACCCTGATGAAATAATTTCTTTTAAAAAAAGCTTGCAAGATAAAACATAGCAGGCTTTGACTATGGGGCTCGTGGGAGTGGCAAATGCCACCATCTGATAAATTTCAAGTAAGCAGTTTCTGAGAGTTTATTGTCATAATGATATGTTTTTAATAAATCTAAATTTGCAAAAAAAAGAACCTTTTTTGCAGCTTTTTTACTTTCTGCCTTATGTTTTGACGGTCATTTTGGCTTTTTTGCTACATGTTACGTGCTTAAGTGTAATCACTAGTCTTGCTGTGCTCTCCTGATAGGATAAACATTCAAAGAAGCTCTCAATAAAGTTTACCCGGCGACTTCTGGTCGTTTTTCTATTTTTCCTCATAAATTGACGGCCATATTGAAAAATGCTCAATGTCTCGGAAATAGCAACCAAGCTAATTTTGCTTCTGTCGACCTGAAGAATGCATTTCAGCAAAAAAAAAGTTTACAGGAAAAAACATTGCAGGGTTAGCGTTCTGGCTACTCGACTAATAATAACAGTCGCATTTAACCATAGAGAGCGAGCTATGTTAAGACCACCCTCCTCTTTAAATGATGATTTACACTTTAAATTGACCGTACTCTCATGTATTGTGTGATCACAATGTCATAGGTCCCCCTGTTGCATGTTGGAGTTGGATTCTCCTTGCGCCTCTGTGAATGCACCTCATTTAATTTAAATTATAATATAAATATAGTATAAGTAATATATTTGTCATGTTCCTTTTTGAAAATGCTATTCGCTGTTTTTTCCTTATTCCTCATTTATTATCGTTCATATTTTATAAATACTTGAATCAATAGGTTCATAAATAAATAATTTATTTATAAATTAATGCAATAAGAATCTTTTGAGGTTGATGCTGACGCTCATGCATGTTAACTAAACAAACAATACTTAGTTCAATTTTTGACTACGGAAAATTCATATTGAATAAAATACCTGATAACAAATTTAACTAGCAGTTTGTTAGCAACACTAAAAAGATAATCAGCTGCGCGTGCCAAACTAGTGAACAAAAGGACGTCAGTTCGCTACGGGAGACGGTTTAGTGGCACGAGGTAGCATGGGTTCAAGCCTCTCACATCTATAATCCTACTGCCACAACAAACAATGAGGCCCTCCTTGCTGATGTATACTGCTGTTAATAACACTAAGTTACAGCCGATTGTCGCTCTCGCGCTGGATCACAGATATCGGTTTACTCGCCTAAAGTATTGTGTTATTACGCTTAACTATTGTTTTATGCGGCTCTCCATTGTTTATCCGCCCCCTTCTATTTACAGGATAGGGATTAAAACATTTCAAACGTTTTTAAAACGTTGTACAACGGAAACATAATTATTATTACTACTGTATGTTGATTTGAATATTTTAAGCAATACACACTCAGGAGTTTTTGATGCAATTTTGTCTGGGGAAAACTGCACAAAAAAGTATATTGCCAGCAATATTATTGGAGAATTGAGAAAAGCTTAGAATACAATAACAGTGGGAAATATTATTGCATTTAACTTACCCTATCTTCTTGTACTCCGCCTGACTTATCAGTCATAATGACGTAAATGAAGGCAAAGACGTCATTGTTGGCAATGAAGTCAAGAACCACGTCATCCATGACACCACTCTCACCAATACCAGGACTGTCGATGATATACACACCACTCTAAGGGTATAACACAATAATGTTTATGTATTTTGTGGATACTTGATATGAAGGCATCATACCTTTGACAGAAAGTTAAGCAATTTTTTATGAAATTACACGTATATACCAGTGCCCAATTTAGTTTCATGTCACAATTTTATGAAATACGTCATTACCTTTAACAGTTCAAATGGCAAATAAACATCAACAGTGCACTTTTCAAGTTCATCCTCCCTCGCTGCACCCTTTGGGAATAGAACAGGCTCCAAAGCCGAGCACAAATCATCAGGGTTCTTTATGGGGACTTCTGACGACATCCTCCTGCCGTCAGGTTGGTGTGTCACTTTGACTACTCTATGTTTTTCCCCATACTTTATTCTTGTGATCGCAGCTGTACAGCTTAAATGGGCTTCCGGTAAGATCTTCTTGCCAAGGAGAAGGTTCAAAAGCGTGCTCTTCCCCGAAGAAGTTTCGCCTAGAATGTGAAAATAACATATAAGTGAAAATAACATGATAGAGCCTCCATAACACATTGGTAACGATGCCTTGACGAAGTACTTTTTTGCATAACAATATATATATATATATATATATATATATATATATATATATATATATATATATATATATATAATAAGGCCAAAGTGATAAACAAACAATTAAATACATATGTAAAAAGCAATATTTAATACATAAACGAATGAACTGATAAAATAATTCTAATAGAATTGATTGAATAAAAAATTAAAAAAGTTAATGACCCAATTTAGAAACATCATATGGATAAAATACATGTATTTATTATCAAATATGAGTATGCATGCGTGTGTAATCATCGGATATTGTGATTGTGTTCCCTTTTACAACTGCACATGTCATAATACAGTTGAGCTAAGAAACACGCTCCAGGTTGTTATCCGTCCGTTACTCACTTGTTAAGAAATAATTATAAGGTATTAGAGCTGACACCTCTGGGTTTTCATGTAACACAATCCATTCATAAATAAAAAAAATATTACTACTGGTTAAATTATAAAAAAAACTATTACTATTGGTAACATCTAATTTATTCTGAGCTCAATTGTATATATAGTTTTAATGACATATTAGCAGAGGAAGAGTATTAACTGCCCAATAATTTGATTATAAACAATGAGTTGTTTGGTTAATGACTCCTACCTGCTACAAGTATTGGGCAGTTACCAGATTCGAGCATGGTGATCCTTTTACGCACGTTTATGTCTGCGCTCTCAGATACAACATTCTCAGCTTCCAGTCTCTTTAAGATGCTCAAGTCAAGTAATGGTAGGGACTCTTTAATGGTTTGAAAGATCGACTGAAGTGCATTTCTTCTTTGCGTATCATTCTCTCGTAGTTTAGCGAAAACATCAGCAGCCTAAAATTATATATTTATATAAACATACACAGTGACTTTTGCACCCTGGCATCCAACGACATATTAAATATACCCAACTGGTATAAGGAAAACGAGGATCAACTGCTCCACGTATCAAATATGGAGGACCCTGCATGAAAGAAGACCCAACAAATTCGCAGATGGGCTCCCCGCCTCCACACGCGCCATTAAACGGATTAAATCACGAGTCCAAATTTTAATTGCTGGACCCATGCATGGACGGCAAATTTGGAGAAGGAGAGACCATTAGCGGATTAGTCGGGTCTTCTTTCATGCAGAGTCCGCCATAGTTGATCCGTGGATCAGAAGATTATCGGGTCTTCTATTCTGAATGGCATCTATGTTTACAAAACAAAAGTAAACGTGAGTATATTTGAATAAAAAGAAAGACAAAGACTATACCTTTTCCAATCTGGGAACTTGAGAGTGTTCTGCCTCGAAATGTAAGCGAAGCCTTTCTTTTAGATCCTGTAGATCTTCAATGTCGTCAGTGTATATCTCAAAACGATCGCAAATATCAAAGGCCTCCACGGAGTCATTCAAAGACTCAATGGTGTCTAGAGTAATGTCACTTATGTTTGCCATTGCTGCTACCGCCTCGTATTTCCAAGTATTTTGTGTTTTCAGTTATTTACCTAAAAATGATAAAGATGTGGGTCCTTGTTTTTGAAAAAGAGAAAATGTATTATTATATGTGTCAAAATAAGATGACTGACTGACTTAAATCGCAGATAGGACTATTCTAGTTCTGCTGAGGGTGAAGATATACTAGTTTACTTATACCCCCTGGTGTGTTTGTTGTTGTTATGCGTTTTGAGACCCTCACTTACAAAAGGGAGCAAATAGGCTGGGGGCTTAAACAATGATTCAATTTCGACGTGCTACATTATTCGCCATTCTGCTGCAATAGGCGTGTTTCAATGCATTACGATCACGTGGTATAAGTGTACATATAGGTTACTACGCGTCCTGTTGAGCAACATTATTTGTCCGAAGAAAAAGCAATGTTTCTCCCCCAGAAACCTAGGTCGGCGAAAAAAAAAGAGATTGAATTCAGAACAGCAAAATCTGAGTACAGAGCAATAAAAGTAAGACCCCATTCCAATACCAAGATCGATATAGCAAGATCGATCCATCTCCGAAGGGTTTCTCGTTTAATATTGCATTCCGCTTTATACCCCCATCACACCAGAGGCAGAGTGAGCTCGAATGCCGTCGGAAAGACAATTGTTTGTGCATTCCTGGATATTCAAAGAGCATTCTAAAATTTCCGAGTGCTTTTCAAATATTTTTACCCATTATTGTCGTCGTGGAGAATATTTAGAATGCAGTCATAGTGCAGTTAGAATACTGTTCAAATGCGTTCGATAATTTTCCACTTGGAATGCACTTCGAAAGTTTTTGACATGAGCAAAACATTCGAGCCGGCCACAAGAATGTGTAAAAATATTTGGAATGCACTCAGAATTTTTAGAATGCTCTTCCGTCAGAATGTTTGGAATGTGCCTCGGACAGGCCAACTACCAGACTCGGCACATAAGGTTCCAGAATTAACCGGTACGTCGGACCACACTACACGTTTTCAAGGTGTGTGTCAGATCGCATTTCGGAGTATCAGTCAGAACACCGACAGGACGAGCACGCGGTCGTCCTACAAAATTTGTTCTGGGGTATAATACTCCGAAAAGAAGCTACGCCGAAAGTCTTTTTTTTAAGTCGTACAGGAACGCAGGGGGAACGCAGGGCAGGGCCGTAGCCTCCTGGGGGGCAGGGGGGTAGCTGCCCCCCTGGGATTTGAGGTGCAAAAAAATAATCGCAATTTCTGTCTTCTGATTGAGCAATAAATAACAGTTAAAATTCACCAGAATGCAGTATTATACATACAGATTTAAAAATTTTTCCACACTGTGGGAGGGGGACACCCCCTCCCACACCCTTCCCCCTTGGGGGCTTCGCCCCCTCGTGTCCGCTTACTGCCCCCTGGCATTTTGCTCAGGCTACGGCCCTGCAGGGGCAAGACTAATGTCATTTATTTATCACAATTTATCGATACTTGAAACAACCAAGCAACCCC